TTCAGCAGAATGAATCTAAGGATTATAGTGGATCACAAGGTAAACATGAGTTAACAGGGTGAGTTTTGTGAAGAAGCCAAAATTGTATTTTGAGCATCAAGATTACCCTTCCACTGTACTCAGCATCAGTGAGATCTTGATCTGAACTGCAAGGAAAGACTGAAGATGTTGTTTTAATAAGAAGGGGAGATAGTTGGGGCATTTAAGTTAGATATTATGGGGAAAAGCAAAAAAAAAAAGTGCTTCAAGTGAAACCCATTCAATTTCCTGGAAAGATGGTAGAGTTCCTGAGGCTGCAAATCTATAAGATCAGGTCAGGCAAACATCTCTCAGGAGTGACATGGATGCAGTTCATCGCACTGGAGTCCATGAGAATGGGCTAGATGATGCTATGTGTTCTTTCAGGCTTTACAGCTCTCTGATGTCCAAGTGTCTTCCCAAAGTGCAAGGCAATGGAAATATAAGCTCTGAGCTTTCTCTTCATGTTTTTGTAGACCTGACTACTCTTATGTAGCCAAGTGTTCATGAGGTTTTGCTCTTACAGAGTTCCCAGCAGCTCTGCAACCAGACATGTTTGGTTTGGGGGGACGTAACGCAGAAGTTACTCTGGTCTGGAGGTTCCAGTGGGACATTGGCTGGAGCAGCCCAGTGCCAGGGAGAGTATGGCACTTAGAGGAGGGGAGGTGGGACAGGAGATCAGAAAGCAATTGTTGTGAGGGGGAAGGTCAGAACAGGTGCTAGGAAAACCTCTTTTCAGATATATTCATATATTTTAGGCATTGAAGAGGACCAGTGTGTAAGTCATTCAGAGGTGGGAATGATCTAGCAGTTCATTCCTCTCTTAAACCTGGAGAGGGGAAGAGTGGTCTCAGCTGCAGCTGCTGTTTGCGGTCTCCTTTAAGCAACACTTCAGTTTATATACCCTGCCTGGGAAAGCCCAAATCTTTCAACCTTAAGGTTTCCAAAACATGTAGCAGCTGGCCAACCCCAGCTACTCACTGCTATTGGAGGCGAAGGTCAGAGTTGTTCCTGAACCCTCTTCCCGTTGGAGGAGCAGTGGCAAAACTCCTGTGGGAAAGGCTGCTGAGTCAACCACAGAGCATGTGGCTACCAGCAAGGCGGAGGAAAGCCTCCACACTGTAAAAATAGCCACACTAGGAGCCCTAATATACTTAAGTGCTTATTTTTCCATGTGTGATCTCATGCAAACCAAGCTGCTGGGCAGTATGACATAGCAGTTGGCCAAAAATAAAATGTAACTCAATCAAAATGTTTTTTTCTGAAGTTAACCTTTGATGGGTGGAAGGGACAGGTACTCTGTTTTCTCATTTCCATTAAGTTATTGTTAGGAAAAAAAAATCCAATAGAGATGAAGATGGGATTGACACCTGATATCCATTTTGTGATGGCCACGGGTTAAGGATAGGAATTGCAGCTCTCTTGCACAGGAAAATTAAGCCTATGATATAGTAAGAAAGTGTACATGGGATTTCTCTGGGTGCTTCTCCAGCTGTTTGCACTGAACTGAGTTTTGGTGGGCATTTGATGCTGCAAAAAAGGTATAGACTTGATAGCATTCGAAGCTAAAGCCCAGGAAGGAGACACAGTATCAACAGCCTTGGAACAAGGCACTCCAATCCCTGTTGATAAGCCTCAGAAAAATGTCTTTAGAGGCCTTTAGAGATTCATTTTCCTTTGCTGTTTGATACTTGGCCTGTTAGATAATTTTTATTTTTTATTTTGATCAGTTTTGGTAGGTCTGTGTTGTGGAAGGTGCACTGAAACCATGAAGCCCCTTTCACAAAAGCCACTGAATGCCTGGAAATGCTGGTAGTTTGACCACTGTCCTGCCAGGGCTAGCATTACATTCTTCAGGAAGAAGAGTGCCTTACTAATCCCTTGCTGGTGGAGAAACAGACAGACCTGAGGAGCAGGGTCACTTTCTTCCTGGTTAGAAAAATGATGAAAAACCTTTGTAATCCTGAATTTCACATGCAGAAGCATGTGTATCCCATGGCAAAACTCTGGATACAAACAAGCAGATTTTGGGTGTTGGGTTTTTTTCCTAGCTATTAACGTCACTCTTAACGATTTCAGATTTCGTTTCTCTAACAGCGAAAGCCAGGGGAGAAAATCCCAGACATCACAATCCTATCATTGCGCTTCTCCTCTGCAGGGCCTCTGACCTGTTTCTGCTGGACACGCGGGCAGTGTGGGCCTCGGAGGAGGGCTGGCTGGAGTTTGATGTTACTGCCACCAGTAACATGTGGGTGATGAGCCCTCAGCACAACATGGGACTGCAGCTGAGCGTGGTGACCCGGGATGGTAGGTTATGGGCCAGTTAACACACATCACCTCATGAGTCTCTTGGATGCTGTCTAGAGTGGTGTTAACAGAGTGCAGTTGTGATGTGGGGGGGCAAGCACCCTGCCTTCGTAGGCAGCTGTAGCCAACACCATGAGCAAGGTGTCTGAGGGCACAGATTGAGGGCTGTCAGTTCTTGGCTGTCCCATGATGGACATGTCTTTCCCCATGAGCGAGGTCAGGTGTCTCTGAACAGTACCAGGATGAGCTGGTGGAGGCGGGCTGGGGCAGGGCCCCAGTTCCTGCGTTGGAGGTGGAAGGGGACATAGAGCTGGGATCCCAGGTGGGGTGAGGTTTAGGGGTGAGAGGAAAAGAAGAGGGCAGGTATATTGGTATGCACTTCCCCATGAGGGCTTACGGCAGCCCTCCTGGCTCCTGCAGCTGCCATTGCTGGAGGGATCTCATAAAACCTGAGGTGGGAGCCCTGTGCTGGAGAACCAATGCGGTTGCTGTGTGGGGCTGGTCCCTCTGAGGGCAGCTGCAATGATAGCATTTCACAGCCCACAGAAACTCTGAAAGGTAGAAAAGGAGAGAACAGACTGCAAAAGAGTATGAAATTGAGTGTTGGAAGATAAGCAGTGGGGAAGGAGAGGATCTAGATGAGCAGAAGGTGACCAAAAAGATGACAGTGATACCTGTTCTCTATAGGAATCCATCTCCAGCCTTGTATTTTCTTCCTATCACTTCATACTGGAGTTTGATACACCTGTGGGGTCAAGTGAGCCCAGCGGGGCTGTCCATTGTTCTCCCTGAGGAAATATTAGTGCCAGCCTCCACCTCCCCAAATGGGCTGAGGGCCCGTCCCTGTGCTCCTGACAAAAGCACTCCATCTCTTTGCCCTCTGCTTTCTCTAGAGGTCTCCTAATCCCCTCTCTGCTTCTTGTGTTTCACAGGCAGCACAACACATCTGGGCTTTGTGTTTTATATATCTATCTGTATACCTCTTCAATGCCTAAACTGGAGTAGAGATGCCATAGGGGTACCAAAGAGCCGGGTGCTGCAGTGGAGCCTCTTGTCCAGGATGGATGGGGTGCTGTCCTAATAATGCCCATAGGTTGTGGTGGCAGGAGGGGAATGTTTAGTGATTAAAAAAGAAGGGTATGAGCAAGAAGAAAGGAAACACTGCTTATGGAGATGCCATGATGCCAGAGAGAGCAATCCAACTGCACCATTTCTCTAACACTCACTTTTCTGTTTGGTTTGAAGGTTTCAGCGTAAATCCTAGAGAAGCAGGCCTTATAGGCCGAGATGGCCCTTATGACAAACAGCCTTTCATGGTGGCCTTCTTCAAAGTGAGCGAAGTTCACGTACGGACCACTAGGTCAGCGACCAGCAGGCGCAGGCAACAGAGTCGAAACCGCTCCACCCAGGCTCAGGATGTTTCCAGGGTGTCTAGCGTCACAGGTAATCATGCAACACAGGTAATCATGCAGTGCAAGCTGGGATGACTTCTTGTAATGTTTCTATTTGCTTTGGACTGCAAAAGCAAGAGGGGGGGATATGAGGTGGGATGCTTTTCCTTGGGTGAACAGGTTACATCTGCAAGGGAAGGGAAGAGGCGGTCTCACATAATGAGACTTAGAGGAGCCCTCTTGAGTCCAGGGTGGAGTCCAGACCCCCATGTGAAGTCGCGGCCATTGAATTCAGGGGAGTGAGGCATTTTAACCCCCGGCTCTTGTGCTTGTAGATTGTTTGCTATGCAGTGTTTGCCTAGAATTATGCTATGTGAAATGCAATATTCCATCGCTGTGTACACTGACATTTACAGTATTGCACATATGCATTTCCAGCAGAGTTCTCTTTCTGTGTTCTCTGGAAAAACCCTGGTAGAACAGCATGAGATCCTTTCTGTTTTCTTCCTTGTGAGAACAGCAGTGTATACATGGTGAAGTGCATTTCCAGGCAGGCAATAACAGTAACTCTGAAATTTGGACAAAAATTGAGAATGTCCTAAGTCTTGTCTGTTTTCCAGCCGCTCTGCCCTGCATCACAATGCTACAAATCCTTTGTTCATTGAGTACCTTCTTTCCTCTCAAACATTTCAGCCCATTCCAAGTTACTTCATTAATTTGCTTATGCTGCCCCCTTCATTTCCAATACGATCCCTGCTTTTCCTGTGTCTAGAAATGACTATACCCCAAGGAAGAGAGGCAGCTGTATTTTTTAGTCTATGTCCAGACACAGCACAGGGAGATGAGCCAGCATTGCTGAAACTTAGCTGGTGTGAATCCGTAGACTGTCCCCTGTTCTTAGATGCTCGGATTGTGGGTGAGCCACGCTGCACCCGAGGTGACCCTGTGCTGGCCATGGTGCTGTGAGCCTGCAGGGAGGCAGAGTCAGATTGGGAGTCCCTCCAGTGCTGGCAGGCCAGGTTTTGACCATGGCCATGTGCCAATGCAGCCTTATTGTTCCAGCCCAGCATGGTGATGGACTTGCCTTTTAGGCTAGCACGTGCCAGCAGCAGTTGGCCACTAGCAGCTGTTGTGTGTCCTCGTGGTGCACGCTGGGGTATGACTGTGGGTTCCAATACCATGCTGTGTGCAAGTGCCGGACTGGGTTTGGTGTGAAATGTCACTTCACGGATTTTAAAGGCAGGAGGAGTGACTTGGTCCTGCAGCCTGACCTCCCTGAGGGAGGACGGCCGGTGCCAGTGTGGCATTGCCGGAGGAGTTATCACCTAATCTAGCATGAGAGCCCTCTGCCAGTCCCGCAGGTGGAGCTGTCTGTTGGTCCCAATTGCTGAGACTGCTTTGGTCCTGGTTTTCCATGGGGTCTCCAAGCTGCAGTTTTAAAGGCGGGCATCACAGCTGTGCACTGGGTTACTTTCCCATGTGATGGGCTTGCGAAGAACATAGGTAGTTTATTTATCTAGGCATTATAAGCAATAAGCCCAGCCATTACGCAGGCAGCATGCAATTCTCCCACTCAGGTCAGCTTGGCTGCTATGCTCCCTTCATCACAAGAGCCAATTTTTTAATGCATTCACAGTGCTTTGGGAAAGTTACTTGCTGCTTTGCTGTTTCGCGGTGCTGGTAGCAGAGTCAGGATAGGCTCCAACTTTCTCTCCCTAGCTCCACAAGCTTCACAGTGCTAAAAACAAATTTTCACTACTATTAAATCAGGCAATGTGACTCAAAGCTCCAGAGGGAGCAGATATATTGGGCAAAAAGGACCATTTTTACATCGCTATTTTCTTGACTACACCACACATCAGGTCATAAAATTATAAAATTACAAAAAGGGAAAAAATAGCTGGTCATTCTGTGGTCTCAAGGGCTTTTTTGAGCTCTTCTAGCTCAAAGCCATCTTTAATTTAAAACCTGGAATTTGGCAGTTCAGTAGTCAACAAGGTATAGTTGAGCCTCTGTGGATTTAAGGCAGGGGAAAGGAGGGGAATTTAAAGTTAAGATGTATGTTTGGTTGGTTTCTGTGTTTAGAAGAGAGAGACTACATCAGCTTATTTTCCTTTCTAAGTGTGACACTCTTAGACTCTGTTCTCCTTAAGAAGTGGTTGATTTAATAGCCCAAGAGGCACTGATGACTGATATGCATTTTGAGCGTTAAAGAGATCACAAGGATTTTTTCTTTTTTAAATTGTGTGGGTTCTTACATCCATGCCCTGATGACACATGGTGGGGCTGGGGAAGTGTTTGCCCCAGGATGAAGCAGGAGGTGAGCCTGGGGGGTTACCCTGAAGGCTGCCCTGCTCTTCTGAAGGTGCCCTGATACCTCTGGACCCAAAGTGGGTGCAGAACTGGGATGCTGTGATCCCCTCCTGTGCATCTCTCCACCTGAACATCTTCCTCTCTCACTGTATCTTACATCTTGCCAGATTTTGGTCTGTGCTCTTCTCTGAGGCAGGATTACCACTGCCTATCAGGGCTTGAGGGCAATTTCTCTCCTGGAGAGCAAGGCAGCTGACTGGTCTTGATGTTTTTTTATGGATTGAACCTTCCTTCCTCTATGTTAGTGAATACAGAGCGTTTTCTTTCTTCAGGCCAAAAATGAACCCCTTTCCCAAAATATGCTGGGAGTTGGGTTGGGGCAGTATGTTTAAAAAAAACCCCATTTACTATCTAAATATGGAAAGCATTTCAAATCCTGCAGTTTGGAGCGCCTGAAGCATGCTGCTGGGCTGGTTCTGGATCTAGTAAGCCAGGGGGTTATGTGACGGCATGCTGCTACGTGCAGGATTGGGACCCTGCTGTGCTCCTTTTGATGTGCAGTTGTTGTCCTGCAGTCAGTACCAAATGCTATGATACTAAGGTTATGGCTGTGGCATAAGAATCTCAATGGTCTGTATTTTTTCACCAAGAATGCTCACTTCCCTGTATTATAAACACGTAATTATGACTGGCTTATATAAAGCAGAACTGAGTAACCCCCATGGTTATAAACTGCTTTGACATAGAGTCCTGCGTCAATGCATTCCTGGAGCCAAGCTCTGTTCTTCTGCAGAAAGAGGATGAACAGGAAGAAAAGGAAGTATTTTTGTCTGTTAAGGCAGAAAATCATATGCCAGCTCTGGTCCAAGACGTAGAAGAATGAGGTGGGTGGGAGGAGCATGCAGGTGTTTCTCTGCTGTTGTCCGCAAGATCTGGAGACCCTCGCTCAGCCGTGTCTTGCGGTAGGTTTAGCTCATGCTCACAGACTCCAGGCTGACTCTCTAGTTAACCTGAAGAGATGGGGACTTTCTTCAACGTAACACATGGTGACCCTTGAGCCTAAGGACTTTGCTGCCATATAGTCAGCTCCTCTGTGAGTTATGGTTTCTGTATGGGGCTGTCTCCTTGTCCAGTGGCGATAACCGTCCTCTTCTGCGAGTCAGCCTTCAGGCACATCCCTTCCCATCAGCCCCTCCTTATGGAGAGTTGCATTTAAATGTCTAACTTCAGGCTGAACTCGCTGCTCTGAGTGAAGCTCATGCAACACCCCTTTTTGAGTCCTTCACTTTAGCCACCCCAGGGCCTCCGGGACTGGTGTGAGGTGCTCCATGTAAAATGGAGGAGCTCTCCAAGTGGCCTTTCCTTCCAGCAGACTTGCACAGCACCAGGCAGATTTCCCGTGTACGGTAACCAAGTACCACAAAGGGCAGTGTGCACAAACACGGAAGGCAAATAAGGCCAAATGCCTTTGCGGTGGCAAGGGTCTTGTTAATAAACATCGTTATCTCACAGCCAATCTTCCCTTTATTAGAGCGCTTGGATGCAGACCAGAGTGGCGTGGCCGGCATTTCTCTCTGTGCGTTCATATGCAGGTCCACATGAGCCCAACGTCTCCCCTTCTTCCCACCCAAGCAGATCACTTTCATGTGAAGTGGGCTGTTATTAACTGTGTGATCAGTTTACACCAGCTTTATCCAGACAAATCACCAAAGTCAAACACCAAGAAGAAGGGGCTGGCCTTGGAGACCTCTGTCAAAGCTATTTTGAATCACAGAAGCAATTAATTACAGTGTGGAATTTGGTAAGCTGGCACCTTGGGAGCAGCAAGGGTGTTCTCAGACGGATCTACCTCAGTAAATATTTATATATTCTTTGCCAGCACTTAACGTGGGAGAGGTTATAGGAAATCTAAGGTGAGTGCTTAAGTATCTGTAGGAGGAAGACCATTAGGGTCAGGCTATTCTCTCTCCCCTTTCAGCAACACACATGCCAGCGTCCAGCCTTAAGAGAAACATCTGTGCTCACAGAAAGTTAGACTTGGGTTCTGGTGAAGGCAGACAACGTTCAGTGCAAACAAGCCGCAGAGACAAGCCGTCTTAACTGTGCTGTTTTAACTGCGCTGCCCTGGAAGTTATTTTTAAGTGCAGAACTAGGGGTTTGGGTTTTTTTTAAATCTCTGTTGTAGACAAAATAGTTTGCAGTATGATTAAATGCAGTGCCTTGTAAATGCCAAGCTAGTGTTTCTGAATCAGTGCATTCAGTAGGAAAAAAAAGATTATTTTCCTAAACCCACAAGGAGCCTATAGGAGCTCCCAAAGCAGCTCCCTAAGCTCGCAGAGATTTTGAAGGTCTCTGACAAACAGTCCTTGCAAATCGTGTCGTGGCAGCCTAAGCTGGCCCCGTGGCCGTTGTTTGCAGCGTCCCCCCGCTGCAGGGCTGGTGGGAAGGGACACGGACCCTTTTGCCTCTTGGCAGTTGGATCTTGCACTGCGAACCACCTCAAACTGCAATTTGGGCTAAAACAGCTGAGCATGCTGGCCTGGGGTAGCTGATACTGCTTTCCAGGCTTTGGAGAAAATGTGTTGTGGAGGCCAACTTCAGTAGCTTTAGCTCACCACCAAAAATCCTTTACTATGTGGATTCCTCTTTTTTCAGGCCCACAATTGGATGTACGTCCAGCATATGTGGCTCTAGGGCAAATGCTGACTCCCGAAACATAGGGAATGGATCGTTATTATGTGCATCTGCATTGCTGC